TTTTAACCACTTCCCATCCGCCCCATGTACATAAATGCTGGATAGGAGCAGTGCAGGAGCGAGTTGCCGTTCATAAACTGCATCCCCATTTTCAAGCTGGACACAGCGGAACACCGATCACTGTATGGGACCTCTGAGTGAGGTCCTGATCGCTTGAATAGTAGTAAGCAAGATGTCACTTCTGACATTGCTTACTACGTGTGAAATCTGTGAATGATTTGTAATGTACAGCACTGAGCGAACTATTGGCGCTTTATAAATACTGTATAATAATAATGATCAGAGGTCACATGGTACAAGGCTATTCACAACAGCCTTGTATCATGTGACAAGCTGTGACCAATCAAAGCTCTCACAGTACTTCTCAAATCGCTGCAGGAATGAAAAATACAAACGATTGCTTTTACAGCCTCTATGGGTGCAAAAGCAATCAGTGTAAAAAAACAAACAAACAAAAAAAAAACAAAAACCTTCATCACCCCCCACAAGTAGTACAGTGTCACTATTTACAACATAGCATGTACCATGTGACAAGCTGTGAGCAATCACAGCTCTCACAATATTTCTCAATGGCTGCAAAAATGCAGTCAGAGAGGGAGAAATGATTGCTTTTACAGCCTTTATGGGTTTAAAAGCAATCAGTGTACAAAATAAATCTTCATCACCCTGTACAAGTAGTACAGTGTCACTGTACTGCTAGGGTGACCGCATATTAAAAAAAAAAAAAAATAATTTTTGGTTATAAACTACTTTGTGTGGTTTTTTTTTTTGGTTACTAAAAAGGTAACCAAATAAATTTTGGCCAAGATTTATGAAGAAAGATTATTTATTTGCAAAATGTTATCGGAAAAAACACTTTGAAAATGTTTGGCCTTTTATATAGCAAACAAAAAAAAAATCCCAGTGGTGAATAAATACCACCAAAATAAAACTATCTGGCTCAAATAAAAAAAATGCTAAAAAAATTCTCGCAACTGTCATTTAAAGTGTGATAGCGCTGAAAGCTGAAAATTGCCCTGGACAGCAAGGGGGTAAAAGTGTCCAGACTTGAAGTGGTTAATTCTTTGCATGTGATTGGGTATTTTTTTTTTTTTTTTTTTTTTTTTTTTACAAAGTGACTCTTCACCTCATTTACTAAGCTCTGGAGCAGCTGTACTTGCAAAGTGCAGTCTGTCTTTGGAAAAAAACTTTAATATACATAATGTAGAATTCTGATAATTCGGTATCCATCAAGGAGTTTCATAGACCCCCTCGTTGTTACAACTCTAAGCAGGTTATACAGAGGAGGTACAGAAGACTCAGCCAGCATCCTTACCCAAAGCAGTTCTGAAAGTCGCCCTCATAGCGTTTGCTGTCTGTAAAGCGACTGCTGGAAGATTTTGCTTTGCAGATACAGCATCCTCTGGAGCTCCTGTAAGTCTTTGGCTTATAAAATCCAATCATTTTTCATCTGAATTAATCTGGAAGAAAAAAAAAAAAAAAAAAAAAAAGGAAGAATGCATCAGTCTGAAAAGACGACAATTAAGGACATTTAAATGTTGGTTTGGCCCCCTTTGTCAAGATTTACCCCCACTTCCTGTCAAAGTGACAGCTGTCAAACAGAACAGGAAGTGAGGGGTGATCCCCTCTGTCTGGGATTAAATGCCATCCGTTTCCCTTTCGAAGTCTATTCCTTTCACTAAACCCAGATTTCAGACAAATAAATGCAACTCTATTATTTAATACAAGCAGCAGAAGTACTTGAAGTTGACCTAGTATCAGGGAAAGGAAAAAGAAAGAAAAAAAAAAAAAAAAAAAAAAACGGAAAAGAAAAAAGGAAAGGTAAAAAGAAAGTGACAGATGAACCATCAGTCTACTGCTTCTCCTTTCACATGCTGGGGACAGGGACATGAGTTGCAATAGAGAAACATCAGGTCTCCTCACCTGTCAGACAGGGCTGTGCAACAGAGCTATGCAAGTCTCAGGACTGGATGGAAATACAAATCTTTGGTGTGTAAAATGGATTTGTCTATATATGATATCTGTGTATTTAGTCATCTGCCTGGAGTTCAGCTTTATAAGAAAATGAGATCGCAGATTGGCTTACATATTGCAATACATTTTAAAATTTGTAATATTTTACATTTTTTAGAGGATGGTGAAACAATGCACAGATACATTAACTGGATGAGTTCTGGATATAGATGACTTCCGATAGCAATCCCAAAAAAGGTTTATTCTGATTGGCTGGACTGGTACAGCCTCTCCCACATACAATTCACAGTGTTCCTGGCACTTCGTAAGCATCACACAATGAAAACATTAAGCCACAAAAGCCGTTCAGACTCTGGATGGCATCATAAGAGCAGATCAAAGCCTCGCTCATTGTACACACAACCTCCTCCATAGGATCAAAGGGACGCCTCAAAGCTGCAAGTTTGCATGAACTAGTGAGCAATAAAGAGTACCTGTCACCTACATAAAAAATGGAGGTCAGAGATCTTATTTGTTAGCTGACTGATGCCTAAAGTTTTGTTTTGGCTAGAGAGGAGAAAGTTTAAACCTCCACTTTTTTTCTTTTATTACAATTTGGCCCTGTTGAGATTTCAGTTCACTTCCTGTTCCAGTGACTACACAGTATGTGACGGGGAATTATTAAAAACCCCTAAATTTGATCAACTGTGTACATATGTATGCAATACTAGGAGATCCTATAGAATATATTGGGCTGGCACAAGTCAGAAAATAAGCAGATACTTTAAAACAAACCACTTTATGAAGTTTGCAGAACAAAATACAATGGCAAGAAAATTAATAAATTAAAATGAGGAGTCAGTGGAGATCTATCTGACAAGGTCTTGGAGCATCAAGTGGTCCAGGCAAGTGAGCAGGATTGACATTCTAACAAAGCTCTGCCTGAACAATCACTCCTCCCACAAAAATATGAGCCGTGTTCCAGCACCATCCTCTGCCTTGCCACCCCCCCCCGCCCCCCCATTAATACTTTACTCACTGCTGGGGGGGGGGGGGGGGGGATTCAGGCAACCAGCATGACACTAACTAGCCTCTTATACCCCTGTACCCAGTCTATCCCCAGGTTCCAACAATGCCATTTGGGGGGCACTGGGCATGCCTAGGGCTAGGTGAGTACCAACGTATATTGAGTGTACAATAGTGAGCCAGCCTCAATCCCTCCCTGGTTGAGAACTGGTCAAAGAGAAGGATTCAGGTCTGACAAGCTTCAGTCATTGTATTTGTTTTCAAACACAAAAAGTAACATAGTAACAGTTGGCCAAATTGAAAACAAACCACTTCTACAGATTTTACCCACAGGGAATTAAAAAATAAAATATAAATATATATACACACATAAATATATATTTACATACATACCTAACCCTCAAGGGGTGTACAATCTAAGGTCCCCAACTCCCATTCATACATACACGTTAGGACCAAATTTAGAAAGAAGCCAATTACCCTACTGGTGTGTATTTGGAGTGTAAGAGGACACCAGAGTAACTGGAGGAAACCCACACAGGCACAGGGAGAACATGCAAACTCCAAGCAGGTGGTGCTGTGGTTGGGATTTGAACCAACGACCAGTACTGCCTGTAAATGTAAAAATGTTCAAACCAGAAAAGCAAGAGAATGTGCCAGCTAATGTAAGCAGGCTCTGGACTCTCACATGAGTCGGCTAAAATTATGCCGTTCAGTGACAAAATTATCCCAGTACAAAAGCAAGGCAAACTCAGCATTATCATCATATGGATTTCTTGGTTTAAACCTAAGCATGTGGTGCAAACGATTGCATAAGTAAAAGTTGACTTCAGTGAGAAGTTAAGTTTTGTGCACAATTGCAGTCGTGTATCGCTCTAGATCTACCAAATACTAAAGTAACCTTGGTCTAAAATGGAGCAACTAAAGCCCAAAAACTCTGGATGTGTCATTGTCCTGACCACGCTAGCACTCAGTGACCCCCTTTCATTTGTTGGTCCTCAGACCAGAACCAACAGCAGATTTTAGTCTATGGGTTTTTTTTTTTTTTACTACTACACAGGATGGTGTAGCTGCGGATCCGCACAAAAAAAAATCCGTGCACCACCCGCACAGAAGAATGCAGACCCGCGGGCGAGTGCCATTAATTCTAATGGTACACCGCCCGCACTGGAAATTGCAACCGTACTGAGGACCTAGATTCCCGTGGAGGCTGCATTTTCAGGAGAAGCGCAGGGACTTCTTCCCTTCAAATGAATGGGCTCTGGTGCCCGCACAAAACGCAGCCTGCACGGCCACACATATATGTGAACCAGGGCCAAGGGAACATTCATATTATTATACAGGATTTATATAGCGCCAACAGTTTGCTCGGCACTTTAAAAATAAAGTGAGACTATACAACAATGATACAGTTCAATACAAGATGGTCAGGAGGACCGTGCTCCTAGGAGCTTACAATCTCATACGTTTTTAGGAAAAAAAAAAAAAAAAAACCCTTTGACAATGTTGTTAGATCTAAAAGGAGAATGCACAATCAGACAGCACCACATGTTGCACTTTAAAAACATTACTAAGAGCCAGGATGTTTACATTCATTTTGCATGCACAAACTCTGGAAAGGGTTAAAAGGATAACTAAAGAAAAAGTTAAAACTTTTTTTAAGTTCTTCATAGTGAATATGCATTAGAATAAAACCTGTCAGCTTTTTATTGCTGCCTGTGCCCCCGTTAGGGAGATCCTCTCTCTCTCTCTCTAATTGTCCTGTTTACCATTGAAAGTGAAAGTAAAAAGAAAAAAAAAAACCCCACACGTTTTGGGTTGTCCCCAGAAATGTAAAAAAGAGGAGAAATCTTCCAATGGTGACACTGGTTCTGGTGACCTGGACATCCCCAAGGGATTCCCTTAATTTGCAGGGATTTATTGTGTGGCTATGGGACAAGAAGTCAAGGCAAATCTCCGCAGTGGGACAGAGGTAGTGAAAAAAAAATAAAAAATAATAATAATAATAATAGACGGGGGTTATAACCCTCCCTTACTCTATTCAAAATGAAAAAGAAAAGTTTTGCCTTTAGTTCTACTTTGAGATTCAGTTGCACTTATAAAGACATTTTAAACTCTGGATGTTTGATTGGCCGGCCCACTTTGACAATCAGTGACCCCCTTTCACTTCATTCTCAAACCAGAAACAGCAGATTATATTCTAGATTTTTACATGAGACTCATGACAGACAGAAACTCAACATTTGTGCATGAAAGCAGATCATCTATGTGAAATGGGCTTACAGCACCTCATTGCAATAAACAACATTTTGACAATGCTGCTGGTAGATCTGCACAATCAGATAATCAGATTGTAATGTGTTGTGTTTTAAACA